ATATATTATTTTATTAGATTTTTTGATTGTGTTCATGCTATGGGCATGTGAACTGAAAAGACTGTTAAACACATTTATTTAATTCTAGTGAAAGACGTAATTTAACTTTTGGACAGGTTATCTTAATGCATCTCTGATGTGACCACAGTGAGGTATTTTTTAATTGTCCTATTAACACTTCAAGTTTATATAGCACACTACCGGTAATTGTCTCAGTCCTCCCGTTCTTTTTTGTTTCAATAACACATATGTTCAGATGCTCAAATACTCGGTGAGTTACACCCCTCGTGATTTATATTACTGCTTTCAACACACTCAGCCCCACAGCTGACAACTATCAAGTGTGGCTTTCAGTCTACAGCATGATTTTGTTTAAAGAGTTGTACTTTTCCTTTCTCGGTGTGTGTTTGCTTGGATATTTAGCAGTTTCTGCTCATACTCTAAACAGCAAAACTTTACTCGGCACAGAGATGTTTTGTAGCAGGTCGGTTGTATTTCTGGCTGGTTTGATTTCCGTTAAACTGTTATCCTCCTTGTTGTTCGTCATCCTTGCTGTGAGATATGTTCAAATAACTTATTAGTCTTTGGATGTTTGGAGGGGGGAAGGAATCCTGTGCTTCAGCAGACAAATACACTTCCATACCAAAGGTCATTTGTGCGATTGTTTGACCCAGACATCATGGTGAGTTCTTTTAAACGAGTTGTGACAACAGTTGAATGGCTTGGCTCCTTTTGCCTTTTCACCCTCTCATTCTGGCTCAACAACAAGGCATAATCCTTCACCCCCACGTTGCGTGTCAGATTTGCTTTTTCTGCTTCGATGAAAAAGTAACCCCCTCTCCAATTCCTCACTTATTTTAGGAACGGGAAAGTATTACCAGTCTCAGCCTCATACAGCCTGCATGCCTGGAAACAGAATTGTTTACTTTTCTATCTGTGCATGTATTTAAATAATGTGCTGAATTATTAACCTCCTTTCCCCAGCTGGTCTATAGAAGGTCAGCATACGTTGTGTAACTCGGACATGTGGTTTCAAAACTTTCATGTAAAGTTAGTCAGCGTTTTGTTTTATGTCATCAATGCTTTTATAAGGCTAAATAAATACTTTTAGAAATATAGATATTAGATCTAAAAGCAAAACTTATGACTGACTTTTTGTATTCTACTGTGCAGGACATACAATGTTGTAGAAAAGTTGATTGTTGTTAAAAAAAAAGATATTTAAGCTGCGTGTCTTTCCCTCCACTCAGAAGTCATGTCATGTACTTTGGTGAAACCAGTTTGGGGTAATAATGATTGATTGCAGCAAAGTAGCTGCAGTAGCAGACAACCAAATAAACACTTTTTCATCACATTTGTTTGTCACAAAATCCACCCTTCACT